CACACCCTTTGATAATTGTGCAGGCTTTTTTTTTTTTTCAGATGGTGGGGCCCACATGTTTGTCTTTATGACATGAGATAATTTATCTCCTTTAACATGAGATTAATAACACACTATTGCTTTTACGACAAATTACTTCTCATGTCACTGCAAAACTAATCTTCTCTTTTTGTCTCAGCTAGAAATATGTACCTTCTTTTTTTTTTAAACATGGGCCCACCATCATCATATGTCTGCAGCAATTTTTCCTCTCCTCAAGTGGCATGAGAAGTATATTGCCCTTAGCACTCATTCACGTCCAAATTGGGAAAGACAATTCACGCCCAAATTGGGAAAGATAATTCACACCCAAAGTAGGCGAGAATGCCACGTAATTCACGTCCAAATTAGGCGTGATTAGTCACGCCCCATGCAGGCGTGAATGCATGGTTTATTCTGCCTAATTTGAGCGTGACTCACACACCTATCCTGCCTCTTTTAGGCGTGATTGGCATACTTTTTCCTTATTTAAACACCTATCATCTCCACATTGTTCACAACTCTCGTACATCATAACTTCTTAGTCTTTGATACAATCTCACTTGCTTATGCATACTTTGTTTTGTGTTTTCTGTTAACATAGTTAAGAATGAGTTCACATTCTGATTCTGTTCGTGTTGTTTTATATTATAATGGTAGGAAAATGGAAGGCCAACGTGGTGTCATTTTTGAAGGCGAGAAAAGGCCAACACGCATCATGCGCAACTCAACAGTTAGCGAACTACATCAAAAAATTCGTCAAAAATTAGCGCTTGAAGGTAAGCAATCTATCAATGTGGTCACTGCAAGAATATGGTACGAATCACAATGCATTGGTATACAAGTTGTGGACGATGAAGACGTAGAAATGGTAATTAGAGAATTTTTCAACCAATCAAGGAAAGATTTTTTAGAGTTGTACATGGATATTACCGAAGTAGAGGATGTTGCTTTACCCATGAGATTAGTTGATTTCTATTTTGCACATAATGCATCATCATCTGCTGCTCCAGTTATTAATCTGTCTGTCGAAGGAGAAAATGACCCTGTAAGAACCCGCACTTTTAAATTAGGAATTTAATTAATTAATTATGATCTTAAGTGAATAATTCAATAATTGACCTTAAATAATTATGGTAAGATAAGAATGATTAATACAAGGACTTAATAACGCTGAAAGTCGCTTTTCTGACGAAAAATGCAGATACCGGTTCTGCTCCACGGTATAAGTGTGTACCGATGAAGTATCCCTGAAAATTATAATAAGTGTGTAAATATTCCTAGAATAATATTTAGGACTGGTATAACAAGTTTGGAGTCGAAATAATGAGAACTGGCGTTAGGACTGATACCGGCTACGTAAAAATGCGTACCAGAAAAGTGCTGCGAAAATTATAATAAAAATATAAAAAAATCCTAGAAAAATGGCTAGGTTTAGAACCCAAAGTTTGGGATTAAAATGATAAGCGTAGTTATTAATGCTAATACAGTGGAATTAAACTTAATTCGCCTATAAATACTAAGTGCACAGTTTTCTAAGGCAGAAATCACATTCTACGTGCCTCCATTTTTCTGAAGTTTTGGAGCATCCATTGCCACCCTCCCTCCCTTCCTCTTGTGAGCCAAAGGGGCCACCTTTATTCTTGTTCTCTTCACCAAAACACCTTGTGTGAGTGAGAGCTAGCTTTGGGAGTGAGTAGGAAACTCCATTTCTGAGTTGTAGGTTCAGTTTGGGTGAGTTTGAGGTGCTGAGTTTCTGAGTTTGGTGGGGGAAGCCATTGTCTTGGCATTTAAGGCTTCAAGAAGCTATTTTAAGTGTAAAAGACCAAGCTCGTGTGTCAAATTCGTAGCTTTGCAAAGTCAGAACCTTGAAACTGTGTTTGAGGCTCTAAGTCAGTCTCATTCTCTGAGTTTCTGAAGCTTGAGGTATACCATGATCACCTCCCTTGTATATTCATGATTTTAGCTTGATTAAACCATTAAAAGGGAAACTTTGATCATTCAAGTTAAAGATTGATGAACCATGTTTAAAATGTATAAATGGACTTCTGTTTGTGGAGTTATTGGACTCCCAATCGTATTTAGACCCCTAAAATGGAGATTATGGAGAAACTGCTCGAGTTTCTGTATTCTGTCTTATAAGTATCCGAATACTTTTTGTGGAGTATTCGAATACTCATCAGCAGGTAGTCAAATACTCTTGAAGGAGTATTGGGATGCTTTTCTGGGAAGAAAAGTATTCGGATACCTTAGTGGAAGTATTCGAATACTGTGTAGTATTCAAATACTGTGGAAAAATTATTCGGATACCAGGTGGTATTCGAATACCTTAGTGAAAGTATTCGGATACTTTCTGGAGACATGGAGTATTCGGATACTCATCGAGGAGTATTCGAATACCTCCTGCATAATTAGCCTAAAATCACTTAAAACAAGGTGAAGAGTCTTAAACACTTAATGGAACTTTGGGCTATTTATATTAATGATTGTTTCTGGTATAAACAGACCTTGAGGGTGTTGTTTGTGGACCTTGGACTGGTGTAGACTCTTGATTAGGATTGTTAGCTTGTGAGATAAGCTTATGTGTCCTCGATTTTTCCCATTGTTGGTTCCATCATACCTCATGGAGGGATGGTTTATATGCAGGATGTGTTTTCATGAAATGATGATTGGTTGAAATGTTATTGAACTGTTAAGTGCAAGTGCCTTATGATATGTATGCGATGTTTCACCTAGACGATAAGCCTGAGTATGTAGCGTCATACAAGATGGTGATTCTATGGATGGGTACAATTAGCGTCTTGTACTATTGTAGGTTGTCGACGTATGTAATTCCTACATGTTCTCTGGCCAGTAGGATTCTGACACACATGACATGATTATATGCTGCATTGCACTAATTTTGGAACTTATATTATTATACTGCTTTTGAACTTATATTGCACATCTAAGTGAGCTTGGGGTAGAGAGATCTTTGAGGATCCCTTGTCTTACTGAGATTCCTTTTTAGAAATCTCACCCACATTTGGGGCACATTTTCAGGTTCAGGTACCTCGGGGGTTGATCCCTCAGGCGGCAGAAGACCGGAGCTGAGTTGATTATGCATGCTGATTACTGAAATGTCTGATTAGTGCTTATGTTTTATCCAGTATATGATCATTTTCTTTGAGACCTTGAGTGGGCTTTGTTTCCTTATTTGGTGAGCATAAGGGTTGTCCACGCCACATTGACTATGTTATGATGTTTTAGTTTTAAGTTGTATAATTGTATCAGGATTTTGTCTGGACTACGTGTTGTGGTTCTGTGACTAGATACACATTTATATATGAGGTATTCTAGTTCGTTATTTATTGCAATGTATATACAGGCATTATTTTGAAAAAGGACTAAAGTAATCAAATTTCTTAATAATAATGATGTCATAATTGAAAAGAAAAAGTTAGCTTCCACATTTAATTGAGTTGCGCTTAATACTGTAATATGATAACAAACCGGGTATACACGGGGTGTTACAGACCCTACTGGGTTATGGAAGACGATGATGATGATGACGATGATGAAAATATCACAATGGAAGATCAACTTCTTGTTGAGGATGCTAGCGCTTCGGACAATGATGATGAACGTGGTATTCCTGAAACTCAAATCCTAGAATCTCATGTCCAGGAACATCATGACATCACATCCACTTAGTTTCTGCAAATTTCCGGAGGTTGTGTTAGTAAACAATGAAAATATACATTTATACTTAACACTTTTTTTAATAGTTTTATTTCGTACATACAGGTGACGATGTTGTTCCTTTTTGGAAAGAAATTCCACACTACACATACATTGATTGGGATCATCAGAGGGAACAAGATTCTTATAACGAGGGTTCAAGTTCATGTTCATGTTCAAGTTCAATTAATGGTCCATGGATAATAGGTAATAAGTTATATATTAAGCAAGAATTTGCATCAAAAAGGGAGGTGCAGATGGCAATCAAGAGAAACCTAATGAAAGAGCATCAAGAAGTGATTGTGCTTGAGAGCATGCCTACAAAGTTAAGTATGAAATATCGTGCGCATGAACAGGGTTTCCCGTGGAGGGTTAGGGTAATAAAACCAATGTATAGTGAAAATTGGAAGGTTACTAAATGGGGTGGAGACCACAATTGCTTGAATGACCATATTTCTCAGGGTCATAGACAGCTTGATGCTGATGTTATTGCTTCACTCGTACTAGGTAAGTTATTGGATTATTTTGTCATCCTTTTGTGTTTAATAGTTACATGAATTTGGTTTAATGTCTACCTACAATATGATTGTTAGGAATGATAAAAAAAGGAGCCATCAGTCTTAATTGCACTGGTTCAGGAGAGGATCACCTATGCGTATGGTTTCAAAGTTTCATATAGAAAGGCATGGTATGCAAAGCAGAAAGTAATTGCGATGATGTATGGTGATTGGGAGGAGTCTTATGCATTTTTTCCCCAAGTGGTGTGAATATATGCTTCGCTTTTCTCCAGGTTCTGTTTATGATATTCAAATAGATGATTATTTTGTTGCTCATCGATTGGTACGTGAAAAACGTGTGTTTCATTGCATTTTTTGGACCTATAAACAGTGTTGTGAAGCTTTCAATTTTTGCAAACCAATAAACCAAATTGATGGCACTCATTTATATGGTAAATATAAAGGAAAATTATTGATTGTCACGGCTCAGGATGTAAATAATGAATATTTGCCACTAGCATTTGCCATTGTTTAGGGCGAGACCATAGAAGCATGGGAATACTTCCTTGATAACATTGTTCGATAGAATCCTTTTCAATATGTGGATGATGTATTCTTGACAGATAATGTGGTTCATGCATACTCGTTTCCTCGGCAGCCAATTGGTAATGAGGCTGCTATTCCACCCTGGGTAGGTCCGGTGGTTATATCGGACAGATCTATGTTGCGTGCGAAAGGCCGTCCAAAGTCCACCAGAATACATAACTAGAAATGATAGTCGCCGTATGGCTGCCAAACCACCTACAAAAGATATAAAAGATTCCCATAACTTAAGTATCTACCACATGACAAAATAATAATAATTAATCCATAAAAATATAACATACCTCGTCCCTGCATAGTGTGTCTAGAGTCCCTCGATATAAAAGTTGTTGTTGTGGTTTAAAGCGGGCTAAACCATTAAACCTGTTATCCAAATTAAACATATAAAGTATTAATAATTTGTAATAAAAAAGATAACGAATGAAGATATACAAATGACACATACCGATGCCCGTAGTGCCACTCCGGATAAGTAGGTTGAGGAAGAGGGGGAGCAATAGGTGAAAATCTGAGCCACACCCATATCTGAAGTATAATATGACACCCATCCATGTCTGATCTGTGTGGGTCAATAAGCTCGCACAACTCTCTAAACAAATGTGCAAGAACAGCAGACCCCCAACTGTACTGTCTAATCTCTCCAAAATCTCCTGCAAGCAATTCAATATAGCGACATGCAACGACGCTACCTACCGATCTGTCACAAAGGAGCCATGACCCTAACATACGCGCAATGTGCACCTTAGTAAAAAATTTAACCTGCTCATGATGCGCAGCAGCTGCACCCCAATACAGATAGAGTCTATCTAAGTACGAAAGCTTCACATCCCCAAAAGGGAGCTCTACCTCGACGAGAGCATGACCAAACACGTCCTAGCACACGACCCGCCAGTCCAAAGATATAACTCTAGTGACCACTCTCCCATCAGTCGGCAAACCCAATATAGCTGCAACATCCTGCAACGTGATGGTTATCTCGCCCTGGGTCATGTGGAAGGTATGTGTCTCTAGTCTCCACCACTTCACCAGAGCACTGATCAACATGGGATTAATCTGAAATGAATGCAGACAAACTATCAAAATAAACGAAACTATCAAGTACACTAATTTTTTCACATTTATTATTAAAATTAAAATATCCTTCACTGGTACATTCTTATATGCATACTTGAATATGTCGCATGCGTGCGACATGTAGGAAGCCAACTTGTGACAGGTAGTCTGCCACAATATCGGGAATATCATCATGAGATGGGCCCCTGCATCCTACCGCATCTAGTCTTGCACAGGCGAACCTTCTCCTTGTTCCACACAGCCTGTGAAACATGCGTGTGTTGTGTGCGCCTCTGAAGTACATCCCACCTGTATGGTCCTAGAAGCACGTGTGACGTGGGATCTGAAGGCTCGGGCTCTGCCTCAGTATCGGATGTAGACCGAGGTGACTCGGAAGATGACGAGTCAGCAATAATAATGTACTATACAAAATTACAAATTAATTGGTATCATTAATATATTCAAAAGTCACTAGGTTAATTACAATTACATGCCTAAAACAAGGGTTAAAAAATATATTAAATTACATGTGTAAAATATTCATAGGTCACTGCCAATTTGTAGGTTTCTAACATATTCCTAAGTCACTAATATATTTCTAGGTCAATAATATATTCAAAAGTCACTAACATATTCTAAGGACACTAGTTTAACATATTCTAAGGACACTAGTTTAACATATTCCTAGTTCACTATAATGACATGTTACATGTACAAATTCCTAGGTTACTACTATAACATATGTACTGCTGTATTTTACAAATAAATAAACCAGATACGAAGATTTACTTGTCTGACAAGGCTTCGCTGCACAAAATTCTCCATCAAAAATCTAGAGAAGTCAGAGAACAAGTTTATAGAGAAGGTAGAGAGAATGTGTGAAAGTGAAAAGTGAAATTTTTGGGGTTTAAATAGTCCAAGGCATTCACGCCTAATTTGGGCGTGAATTGTTCACGCTTATTTTTGGCGTGAATTGTCTTGCCCAATTTAAGCGTGAATGAGTGCAACATATCCATAAATAATTTCAAAACAGTAATGTATTTATAATTATTTAGAAAAATTGCAATATTTTAATTTTTGTTTTTTTTTGCCTATATAACTCTTGATTTTAGTTGTATCTGACAATTCACGCAACTATCAAATAAGAGCCATTGAATGCAATTGAGATCAACATAGCAGTAGAATAAACAGAAAGTGCTACTCTTTTATTGTAATTAATTTCACCATATGTGGAAAGCACAAGTAGGAGTCCAGTCTACTTTCTACATACTTTGTACTAGGTAGGGAGATTTTTTTATTTTTTTATTTTTTGGCACAAAGGTAGGGAGATTTAAATTTGAAACATATGCTATAGTCCTTAAAATTATGAGTAAATACCCTTTTTCGTCCTTGGCAATTTTCACGAGGCACAATTTTGTCCCCGACAATAAAAAAGGCTTATTTTAGTCCCTAATTTTTGAAAAAAAGAGCCACGTTTGTCCTTCTGTTAGTTGGAATGTGACGGCCCACTTGACGGAGCACAGCTGGACCGTTAGTTAGCTGAGTCACTAATGTCACGGCCACGTGGAGGACAAAGGAACGACATCGTTGTGTTATATGCTAAGGCCCTCATACGTAACTACAAGAGGACGACGTCATTTGGTTAAAGGAGACTTCTTCAACCTTGGTGTTGACTCACTTCACACACTCAGACAACAAGTTACCTGTCCATACCCACCATTTCCTCTGCTCGTGAGCTTCGTTTTCGGTGAAGGTTGGTGAGGAACGGTGGTTTGTTGGTGCACGTCTCGTCTGCAGTTGCAACCATCTGGTGGTTTTTGTTGAAGATCGTTAAAACAGTTGTGAGTGTGGTGACATTCCTTCAAGGTACGTGGGAGAAATCATTTCTTTATTATCTGTGGTCCCTCTACCCTTTTTGGTCATTGTCTTTTTGTTTAATGTAGTCCCCCATGTGCGGTTTAGGGAAAGAGATTGATAGGGTTTTATATTCTGGTCCCCTTTGGTATTTTATTTTGGAACTTGTTGCATGTGGTGCCCTTGTCGATTTTTAAATTGCTATGTGTAGTGATTAGTGGACCCAAGTTTTTACCAATGGAGCCTATGTTAAAAAAATGTTCGACTGGTATTATTGTAATTTTTATAATACATAATTGGTTATATGATACTGTGAAATGATATTATTGGTCGTATAAAAAATGATTGCAGTTCTGTTTTCTATGCAGATGTATGAATATATAGTCATGAGATATCATCATGGGGGTGTGTTGGTTAGGAATGATGAAAGGAAGCTGAATTATGTGAATGGGAGAGTGGATGATTTCCCTGAAATGGATGCAGACTATGTAAATCTTCCTGACCTTGAAGCTCTGTTCAAGGGGTATGGTTACCACAAATGTAGGCAGATGTGGTGGTTGAAGCCTGGTGAGAGTGATTTAGAGGTTGGGTTGCATCATCTTGAAAAGGATTCTGATGTTTTGCAAATGGTCAATGCTGCCTTAAGTAATGGGAACAAAATAGACATATATTTTGATGGTTGCATTGCAGTTCCTGAGATTTTGGCTGGGCCTGCAGAAGGGAGTGATGGGTCTGTACCTCAAAGTGTTGATGAGGAAGAGGTCTTAGGTGATTCAGTTGGGAGTTCGTGTGACTTCCATATGACTTCTGCTGATGAATATGAAGAGGGAGAGGGCAATGGACTGTCAAGTGATTCATATGACAGTGTAGAAGATGAGCCTTACAAGCCTCCTCCACCGGGTGTTGATGTCGAAACAGAGGATGAACTGGATCCAAGTGAGGATGAGCCACTTATGTCATTGAAAAAAAAGGTGAAAGGAAAGAAGAAAAAAAATATAGTTAAGAAGAGTGACAGGGAAGAAAACATGGAAGAGGATGAGCAGAATATGTCATTTGAAGAGCAGGGCTATGGTTACAATTCTGAAGAACTGAAGACTCCTCCTTCAAGTGGGGATGAGGAGGTTGAAAGGGATGTGTTTTGAAAGTTTAATGAGGAAAATTCTTTTGGTCATGTACAGCTCGAGCTTGGAATGGAGTTTGTCAGTTTAGAGCACTTTAAACATGGTGTGAAAGACTACAATACAAGTCTTAGGAGGCAATTTACGTGGGTTAAGAATGACAAGGTAAGAGCAAGGGCCAAATGCTCAAATGAAGACTGTGAGTGGATGATTTATTGTGCCTGGAACAACAAATCCAATAGTTTCCAAGTGAAGAAATTCAATGATAACCATTCTTGCTGCAGAATTTTCAAAAATAAAAGGGCCAGCAGGGATTGGGTTGCAAAAAAGTTGGAGAAAAGGCTGGTCATACAGCCCAACATGACAAGGGCCGAAGCTTATGAGCATTTAAAAGAGGAGTAAGGGACCTGAACATATGCTGCAAAGTGTGCTAAATGTGGACAACCTGGTCACTATGCAAAGACCTGTAAGGGGCCAGCTGCAAGCAAGAAAGGGAAGAGAGCAACACCTCCTTCAAATCCAGTTAATGTCAACATACTATCAAGACCTGAAGAGGAGCTCCCTCTGAGTCAAGGAGGACCTTCTGTGATATCAAGACAGTCTCAGGCAGCTAAGGAATCCAAAAAGGGCAACAGCCCACCACCTACTTCCCCACCACCACCAGATCAATTGTCAACTGAAACTGTCAATGCAACAAGCAATGGCACAAGGAGCAGGCTAATGGCCTTCATGACCACACCTGGGATTAGGCCACCAAGGCTAGCTTGAATGAAGTTGATCAGTTGTAGGTCCAGTGTTTTTTGTATAGGGGTTCAGTGTTTTTTGTATAGGCAACACTGCTAAAAGTTTCCATTTTTTTGAATTGTATGCAAGTTCAGTTGTAACCCCATATATTTTGGTATTTAAGGCCTTTAGGCGAAGTACCTATTTTTTTGATTCCCAATATGTCTCTGTATGGGTTTATTGTGAATCAAAAAAAACATTTGTGGAAAAAGTTTGAAGGATGGCTTTTTGTATAGACAGGCCTGTAATTATGCAACCTTACTGTGGAAACTTTTTGAAGGATTGTAAATGTCTACATGGAAACTTTGTCAATTGATTTCTTTTATCTTTTTTTGATAACTATAACTGCTTGTGGTTGGTGTTTGCTGGTTTGAAGTTACATATGTGTTTGCTGCAATGTGGTTGGTCATTTCATGAGTTACATATATTAACCTTGGTCACTTGTTTTTTTTGCTGCAATATGTCTCTGTATACATTTGTGGATAAAGGGTGTGATTAGGTGCTATGTCATGAATTACAATGAATCTTCGAAATGTTTATGGTTGGTGTTTACTGGTTTCAGTAACATATGTGGTCCACATTTTGCTGCAATATGTGCATTACATTGTTGCAATGTGCTGTGTTACAGGTAATACCTTTTAGCAATAAACAGGTTATGCCCATTTTTCAAGTTTCAGGGACCAATTAGGGCCCCGATATCAATTGTCAGGGACCAATTTGGTCCCCGATATGAATTGTCAGGGTCCAATATTTCCCTTTTGGTTATTCTGTTAAAGCAATTTCTGGATTTAGGGATACATTTATCATCACATTATGGTTTATGATACAATGCAACAAACTGGCACATTCATTCCATGCCCAAGTATGCAGTATACCATAATACAACAAAAATAGCATTGAGTTGGCATTGGATGCACATATATATGATGCTATCAGATATAAAGGAATACATTGAAAGCTTCTTTATTATTAATCCATATATGTATGATGCAGACAGATTTGAACCAACACAAAATAGGCCATATAATACATCCTTCTTCATTAATTTGGATAACAAGATTACTGAGTACTCATTACACTTCATTGAAGGAAAAATACATTGGGGTCACTTGTTTTGGCTGTTACAACACTAACAACAAACATACACATGATGATCACACCTACACAAGCAGCACCTAATACCCTAGCAACCCTACCAACATTCCTAATTTGTTTGTCCATCCTATCTAACTCCTCCACCATCTTCAGGTATAGATCATTCAGCTTTCTTTCCTGCTCATGAACCTTCATTTCTTGCTCACTAATCTTCACATCTTGCTATCTAATCATCATGTCCACATACTTCAACTTGAAATTAATTTCAACAACATCTAACTCCACATTGTGAATTCTTGCAACTTCCAGCTCCATCCGTTCATTACAGACGTCATCTACCCATCTGAAAAAAATCACAAAACGGTTTCTTCTCCTGCCAAAATAACAAACCACGATTAGCAAGTGTTTCAACTTAATAGAGGGGCAAATTACACATGTATACCTTGAAATTAGGGCACCCAAGGAAAGCCCTATTTAAGTTTCTCTCAGTTTTGGAGGTATACACAATACTTTGTCTCCCACATTTGCACCTATGATCGGCGGTCCTTGTCAGTGTTCTTCCCCCTATTGAAGCACTCCCACTTGATTCCCCCATGCCAGAAGAAAGACTCATCTTCTCCTATGCCCCAGTAAATCCGGTAGAGGTCTTCTACTGTCGTCGATTTTCAGTCATCAACGTCCGGATGTATTGTTTAGGGGATTCTTCTGTTTAGGGTTCATTTGAGCAATTTGAGGAATTTTTGTGTTTAGGGTTGATTATTGCACATTTGGGGGATTTTCGTGATTAGGGTTCAGTGTGAGCAATTTTTTTGTTTAGAAGCATGTCATTCACAAAACGTCATCGTCTCTTCTTCCACGGTGTACCACGTCCAAGCCGCGTCAGCAAACTAACGTGCCAAATGGGTACTGTTAGTTGGGTCATTTGGGGGGAGTTAACAGAAGGATCAACGTGGCTCTTTTTTTGTTATTTCAGGGACCAATTTATCCCTTTTTTGTTGCTAGGGATTGAAATGTGCCTCGTGAAAATTGCCAGGGACGAAAAAGGGTATTTACTCTAAAATTATTTAGATGTGTTCTGCAAAAAGCTTCCACATTTTCAGGAGTAGTAGACTAGGTAGTACTCATAATTTCACTATTTGGTTTTGGGAAAAATGTTTATAGAGTTACTGCAGATAAGTTATCTGAATTTATTTTCATAATTATATCGTTTTGGTATTGAAATCTTAAAAAATTATAAATATAAAGACTATTATAATACTGAAATAAATTAAAATTATAAAAACACTATAATTTTCATCTCAAAATAACATTGTATTAAATTTAATGCAGATAACTTATTTATAGTAATTACAAAAATAGCGAATCCTTTAATTTTTTGTGTCATACTAAATAACATGGTAAGAGAACTTCGCATAAAGCTTCTTGTTTTCTGACCAGAAGGATTTACCCTAAATGCATAGGCTGTACGCCTCAGGCTCCCAACAATAATCCAATGTCACATCTATCTAGAGTCTATAAAAGGGGCTACCTCATACAAATATTTGATTTTAAAAATACTTTTCTAGAAGTCATTGTGCCGGCTAATTAATATCTGAATTAGATGAACAATGAATTATAGATGTTCGGTAGGGAAAACTTTTTGAAATTTTCAGAAAAGTGATATTAATAATTCTATTTATTCACAATTTGATGTATTTTTTTTGAAAAAAAATTGGAAATTTGATTTTTCCAATATTTTATTGTGTATAAATTTTTTTTTCAAAAAACTATCCAAAAATACGATCAAATATGTGATATTCTTGGAATCTCAGAAATTAAAAAAAAATTACACTTTTTTTAAGACAAAATTCTAGTAATATTTTAATCTATCAAATAACTTTTTGGTAACGTTATTAGGAAAGTGACTTTTCTACTATATTCTTAGGAATTATAATTTTCGGACACGAAAAAAATTATCCTATACCGAAACCCCTAACTTTCTTTTAAATTAGATATTGCATCATCATTTTAGACCAATGAATCTTGTCATAATTGGAATACATTTCCATGCAGGGGAAGGAATGACAATTATTTTGTACCATAACCATAAATCATGGAAACAGAGTTGCGAAACATATGGGCAAATGTATTGTTTTCATTAAAAAAAAAAAAAAAAAAAACTAGTAGATGATAATGTGGACAAGAACATACAAACATATGGGAAACTAGTAGATGATAATGTGGACAAGAACATACGTAGCTGAATTGTTTTCATTAAAAAAAAAAATATGTCCATAAATTTACAAATACATATTGTTATCAACCGCTAAAAGGCTTGAAATTGAACTGTATAGCCATCCTTGTTTGTGCTATTCTTGAAATGTTGAGCAATCAATTTGTTCCTTCAAATTATGTACCTGAAAATAAGGATGTGTTTCCTGTGAAAGAGCAATCTTCCTCAATTCATGAACTAAGAACTTTGCCTCTTAAAAAACTACACTTGGCTTGTGCATTGAAGTTGTGACCTCTAGATGTTGCCGACAGACTGAAGATTAAAAAATGACACTATATGGCAGTTTGTCAACGCTCTTCCAATATACGCTAGTATTTTATCAATTATGCATTCACTTAACCTCCACATTTTTCTAACTACTTTGAGGCAGGTTTTCTTTCAAGTTCATAAAACGACTATAAGTTTTACTGTTCCTATATCTAAGTTGTTGAGATTTCATTGTTGCTTATTTAGATCAACAGAAGACCAAGGGCAGTTAGAAAGAACACACAATTTAATCGTATGGTTAAATAAATCAGTTTCTAAAATACAATTGCACTGTGCTGAAAGAAAGCTTATAGTCGGCATTCAAAACTAAATCTCATTTTTGTATCAACATAAATTACTTTAATATCATCATAACAAAAGAAATTGAATGAAATGGTGAGAAAGTACTTCAATAGAGTTTTTCATTCATTACGAGGTTATCCTTTCCCATCACATTTCCCAATAAAAACATGGTGGTGCATTATTGCCCATGTTTTTCACCTCAATATATACCTTGTCCAAGTGTTCGATGATAATGTTTTGTAATTTGGTAGGGCAAACCACACATATCTAAAGTTATCCCTGTCCTCTATGTGATATCGTCAGAGGTAACCAAATCAATGTCATCAAGGAGTCATTCCTCCTCCATGTTTGCCTACCTAAGTGATGCATTATAAGTTTATGACAAACAGGTATTCACTTGAAAAGGAAGTTACCTCCCATGTAGAAATTATAGGGAAAAAGCCCACACCCCAACTTGAACTATTTTCCCCTATTGTTTATCACAAAGGGGATAAATTTTTGTCATCATATGTAACTCCCCAATCAACTAACTTATCACCTTTTTTGTACTGTAGGGCCTCCAAATCTCTTTATATACCCAATTGTGTAGCCATACTATTTCATCAGCACCAACAAACCTCTAATCTTCTGCCCCACCCTGCATTTTAGCAGAGTCATTTTGTTTACTACAATGCCATCAACACTATCCTCTTTCCTCCATATGGTTCCTTTCTTATCTATTCTAGTACTCTCACTCATGATTTGTTCTAGTGCTCAGGGTCCACCTTCTCCTGGCTATTACCTCAGTTCCAAAATTAGTTCTGTTAACTTTGATCAAGGGTTTAGAAACCTTTGGGGAGCTCAGCATCAGAAACTAGACCAAGATTCATTAACAATCTGGCTTGACTCTAACTCAGGTATGAAAATCTCTCTCACTCTCACATGTAGCTCCCAATTTCACTTAAATTCACCACCTATGGTTCTTTGTCATTTTTTGAACTCCCATTCTTCACTGTTACTACCTCAGAGCATACTCTTACCATGACCCCTTTATTTTTATTTTTATTTTGAAACATAGGGAGTGGATTCAAGTCACTTCACTCTTATCAATCTGGATACTTTGGTGCTGCAATTAAGCTTCAACCTGGTTATACTGCAGGAGTCATTACATCTATCTATGTGAGCATTACTCTACAACTTTAACTAAAGTTGAAAATTGAATCTGTTATTTCAAGTATTCTTCAATTCTTTGTTCTGTCATTTGAGAATTGCAGCTTTCAAACAACCAAGACCACCCGGGAAACCATGATGAAATTGACATTGAGTTCCTTGGTACCACGCCAGATAAGCCATATGTCTTGCAGACAAATGTATACATAAGAGGAAGTGGAGACGGGAATCTTATAGGAAGAGAGATGAAGTTTCATCTTTGGTTCGACCCAACACAAGATTTTCACAACTATGCTATTCTATGGAAACCCAGTGAGATAATGTAACATTTTCATGCACTCTCATGCTCACAATTTGACCAATCTCAACATCCTTCATAATGAATTTCATCTAACGTCCACAACCATGCCTATATTATGATACATAAAATTTACCTTTTGCCCCCAAAGAATCTAACTTAAGACCCTTATGTCAAGATTTTGTGAATTATGCTTGTGTGTGGCTCAACTACTATGTAGTAGACAGAATTGCTTACGCTTCCTTACAATAATTCAGCTGAAAAGACTATTTTATTTTAAAATAATACTGGAATATGATCCCCTGTCTAATAAACATATTTACTTTCTAGAGATAAATCATGAATATTGCTGAGTAATTTTAAAAATGAATATATTTCTAATTTTAGTTGGTGTAGCACCAAGTCCTCATATATGTTACTACTTTGTCTAATTTTAAAATAATCTTGCTTGTGGGACCTGGTTTTGGTATGTCGTTTACTTGTTTGTCTTGTAATGGAAACAATATCTACAGATTTTTTGTGGATGATGTCCCCGTAAGGAGGTATCCTAGGAAGAGTGATGCTACATACCCTACAAGACCAATGTATGTGTACGGATCAATATGGGATGCATCTTCATGGGCAACAGAGGATGGAAAATACAAAGCTGATTATAAATACCAACCCTTCATTGGTAGGTACAGAAACTTCAAACTTCAAGGTTGCACCACTGAAAGCCCTGCATGGTGCCAGCCACCCTCTACCTCATCATACAGCCATGGCAGCCTGAGCCCTCAGCAGTATGGGGCCATGCAATGGGTCCAAAACAATTACTTGGTCTACAATTATTGCCGTGACCCTAGGAGAGACCACACAGTTACCCCAGAGTGTTAAGGGTATGGTTCAATTCCAAGTTACATTTTTTTTACACTTATGTATTTTAGTTATTCAAGGGGTGGTTTTTGTGATGGTCCCGCTAGCTAAGTGTAATTGCAAGAGCAGTTGAGAACGTCCAAGCCCCCCCAATGATTGGAATGTTTTTCTTGTTGGTGTATTTGTATTGTACTATTGCTTGGGTCCTATATGTTCTTGTTGAAATAAACTGATTGGGATGCTTCTTAATAATACGTGTATGGGGTGTAGGACCATGTTCCCTTAACATCAAGTCCTTTGAAAATTAAGAACTTTCTGCTGGACTTTTGTTACTCGCATTGGACCACCATAATACCAACGAATGATCATGAATTTGGATAGCAACAAGGATAACAAAATGGGCCATACCCTAATTCAATTTGTCAACACTTGTACCAATATAGTTCGAGTCGATTAGGTTTTGCTACCGCTACATGATGGGAAAAATCACACCTACTATTTTTTTAAAGGGTGTTTAAATTAGGGGTGTTCAGATACAAACTAATTCAAACTGTGGGTAACCGAAATGAAAAATTGATAACTGAATTAACTAAAAATTGAAAAATCAAAAATAGAAAAAAAAAACTCGCATATTTTAATTGGATTATATCGGTTTTCAGTTTGATTGGTGAAAACTGATCTAATCCAAATCGATCCAATGTATTATATATTTATTATTTTTGAAAGATGTGACTTGAAATTTTGTTGTTTTGTAGACTTAGAATCTTGGATTGTTATTAATAGCAAACTATCTTGTTTTAGTTTTTTATTGTATATTAATTTATTTTAACTCTTCATGAATTTTAAGACTTGTTTTAGAAATATGAAGTTATTCATTGAATTTTGAGTAGTGACTTATGTGATATTTTTTTATATGCATATATATAATTTTGTATCTTGACCTTAAATAATAGAAACTTTACGTTTCTTGTCATTTCTACGATTACGTTTTTTCCTTTCCCTCCGTTTCTACGTAGAAACTCGATTTTGACAACATTGCATATACATTCAATGTACTAATTTTTTTTTTCTTTTGATAACAAATGTACTAAATCTTCATCTCTCAGGAAATTATCAATTTTTAAAAGATTCATTTACATTCAAATGAATTAAAGTGCAACTAAATCTTCATCTATAAATAAAAAGAGAGTATAATTTACCCCAAGAGATAAACTAAACAACATCCTTAAAAAATAAAGTTAATTTAATTAGATTTAATAATTAAATTCAGTTAATTTTGACTACATTATACAAACTTTTTATAAGTGAACTTCTAAAATTTTAAACTTTAAAGTGTTAAAAAACGAACTGGATTCAAATTTAAAATTTAAAATTTTAAAGAAGGGTTTAATATTTCTTATGTTGTATGCGATAAAATTTTCTCCTACACATACATAAAAATATACGGGGCCTATATTTTTTTTCTCTTTCTTTTTTTTATATATATACTTTTATGTGCATGTAGAAAATAAAATTATCTCCACGAACGTCAAACCTTTTAAAGAAAATTTTCTTTTTTAAATGAAATTAAGCCTTGAATTTTGTAATTCCAAGACTGGAAAGAGAACTTCAAAGCAAAAGTGGACAAAAGACAAAAGAGTGCGGATAAGGCAAATGCAAACTTGAAGGTACATATGGAAAACTCGTTAACCTCATGCCCGAATTTTTTTTAAAGGGTTGTTTGGTAGAGGTGAAATATTTTTTTATCAGGGAATTATAATTATTAGAGATCTTTAAAAAAAGTGAGTTAGGTAGAAAAATTAAAAAAAAAAATTATTTGATTGGCCAAAATATTACCGAAAAAATTGGGTTAAATATCCTGAGTCTATATTTGGTTAAAGATAAAATATTAATGGAAAACCAGGTTGAAATTACAAAATAACCCTTTTGCAATATTTGAATCAGAGTAATTGTTGCCTAATAAAAATAATGGAAGATTTGTCGTTGGATATCAGTTGTGCCAACGGCAATATTGAAGTTTCCATATCTCTGTCTTTGTCTCCGTCTCTCGTTTCAAAGTCGACAACCATCTAGAAAGGCAAAAAGTGTTACATGAACCCAACAAGAAAGCCAACAGAAGTGTGCCAGTAGATTTGATGACGCGGCGCAAGTCAACCCTAAAGAGAAGCAACGGAGCAGCGAGAGGGAGCATAAAGCGTATAACAACATCGTACGCGCCAGCTTCAACGGAAAGAATCCTCAAATTACTTACTGCAAGTCCCACCAAAATGCTCACCAAAGAACCACTCAACATGCTTCCAATCTTGGACCTTTCTGACCTTACAATAATAATACATCCAATCCCATAAAACAAAACCTAATGCTATTAATTCTAGCAACTAAAATAAAAAAATTGAATAAAAAAGTGAAAGGAGAGGAAGAGGAACAAGTACCAGATTCCAAAAGCAGCGGTGGCGAAGAGAGCGGTCCAGTTACCCCATGTGTCGCGAGGAGAAATGAGAGGGACATTGTTGGGCTACTCACGGCAAGTGCATCGATTGTACAAGTAATATAATGATTAAGTAATAGATCGTTCCCACGAGGATTACGGTTCAAGCACCAATTCACTATCGCAACTTAAGTTGGACAATCAAAGTTGTATTTGGAAACATGATTTGAATTCAAAATTAAAATATTAAATATTAAATATTAAATATTAAAGCTAATTACTCGCAAGAATTAAAGACAAGAAATTAAAGATTTGAATAAGTTGATAAAATAAAAACGTAGCTAGGGGTTCGATTTCCTTTAATCTCTTTATTATCTTTGAATTCCTTCTAAATGTTAATCGTCCTTAGTATCAATCTAATCAATTCTTTCGCATGTGATTAGGGCTCAATCCCTTGTTACCCTAAACCTTCACGATCTTGGAAGAACCCTAGTTCCCCGGTTATTCCCCAAGAACATAAGCATTAAGTTCAAGAATCTTAAGATTACGCAAACCCTATGTCTATCCGTAGAATCATAACGTTTACGATGAAGTTATCAGATATGGATCACACACCAACATCCCTATTGTCATGCATTTACCGATGATCATTATATAAGATTCAAGCCTATATAAAGCATTAAAAACAGATAACTTCATTCATGATATAAAGGAAAATAAACAGACAAATTGTTCAAAGCATAATAAATCGACTAAAATCCATCTAACCCTAACTACTTAAAAGATTTAGCCAGACATAGCAAAATCAAGAACAAAAGAAAATAGAAAAGCTCCCCCAAACTCCATAGGTGATTGGTGGATCTTCAAAATCTCCAGTGAACACTTGACGTTGATCTGTCTCTGCCGCTCACGAACATGAATCTGATGTTTCTCCGCGTTCCTTCCGCCTCCAAGCACCAAGAATTGTTTTGCAATGTAAAAGTTATGTATTTCTGGTCCCCGATGGTCCTTTTATTGGCCAAGAGTTCGTATCCCAATAAAACACATTGAATGGGCCTAAGTTGGATCTGACTGGGCGCTTAAGCTTGTTGTAGCGCGCTTAAGTGCCCTAGGACGGTGATTTTAGATTCGCGTTGCGCGCTTAAGCTTGATGGAGGGCGTTTAAGCGCGCTCCTCACGACAAAACTTTCTTCTTGTGGCGCGCTTAAGCCCTGAGTTGGGGGCTTAAGCGCCCATAGGCCGAGACTTTTTGGGTATCTTGGAGGCTTAAGCTTCCTTATTGGGGCTTAAGCTTCCATTGGCAGAGGCTATTTGCTTGTTTAGGAGGCTTAAGCTTCATGATGGGGGCTTAAGCTTCCTCTCTAACAACTTGATAAGATCTCAAATCTATCTTGTTTTTGATCTTCCTCTATCATCTCTTGATCTCATCTCTTCTAGTTGTGATCTCTATCTATCCAATCTTCATCTTTGACTCCTTTTGTCAACAAATCCCTTGAAAATAACAAAGATGATTCAATTAAAAAAATTCAGATAATGTTCTTGATTATTATATTAAACCCTAGTTTTTGACTTATTTAACTTGATATTTTATATTAATTTAGTCTATAAAATAAGATAAACTACTAAAGGTTTATCAAACAATTCACAGATTTGAACATTGTTGTCCTCAGCAATTAAACAGAATAAAACTATGGGAAAGTTTGGAGACGGCTAGTCATGCTTAATGAATAACAGACAAGAAACTGACCAATAATAAGATATCCAAGTATTCCGTTTAATCACAATGATACATCGAGTTCAAACATATTTTCACATTCACTAGTCATAAAATCATAACATAAGTTCTCGAAATAAAGAGTAGTTTAATTCAGATCTACAACACCCTCTCACTGGATTCTTGTTTATTCACTCATACTCAGTGTTTAAGGGTATGTGTTTCGCTCTTACTTCACTGAATTAACACTACCATAGGCTTGTTTATATTCTCACTCTCCATAGTCTAATAAGTATACAAAGTCAATCAAGAGGTCTTTGTTAAGGTTGTGATGTGGCTTAGGTAAAAGGGAAAGAATTATCTGGATAAGTGGCTTACTGATCAAAATTCAAATATCAAAGAGGAACTAGTTTAACTGTTCAACATATAGTAAACAGATATCTCTTATTTTTCTTCTCTTTTCTTCTTCCACTTATTCATATAATATGAGTCTTTTATTTCTTTTCCTTCTCCCTTTTATTTTTCTTTTTCTGTTTTTGTACAGATAAACAGTTCAACCTTTTTCTTTTCATTTCCTTTTCCACCACTTTGTGGCAATTTCCCTCTTTTCACCTTTTTCTCCCATACACTTAGAGTTTGATTTTCTCTTTTGTTTCAATCCTATCCAGTTCCTCATTTAATTTTGAAAATTAATCAGTTCAGGTGAGGATGTGTATGGAATGGCTATTCATAATGTACTGTCAATGAACAATCAGGCCTCGGCTCAAAAGGGCTTAATCTAAGAATAAACCTTCAGGGTGGCTATTTGGCTATCTAGCTTTTAAAAAGAACTGCCTCTATCATTTCAACAATTGTATACTATAGACCACTTCAAAGAGAAACAAAACAAGTTCTAGAGTGATTCAACAGTAAAGTTCACACCACAAAAAAAATTCTGTTTAGGCTCAAAAGCTTACGGCTAAGGATGTGAGACTTGTTTTTCCACTCTCTATTTGATTACTCTAGTTATTCTTCTCTTATTTCAGTGAACTATGAAGCATGCTTGACTGGCGCTCATTTATGTACGAAAATAAAATTTATTTACATCATTATAC